GTCCAGTCTTTCTGCAGACGCTCAGCTGTGCAGGACGGGACATCCATTAATACGCTGTTACATTTGGGACTGAGTGTCAGGAAGCCAGGACCCCTTGAGGTCTGCCATTCACCTACCTCACTCTGAGTAGGCCTTTAAAGGAACCTGCCTGTGCAGGTGGATTTTGCATTCTGCTCCATCTGATACAGCATGGGAGCTCTCCTTACCCCGCCCCCCACCCCCAGCATTGTGTTTTACATAAATCCCACAAGCCCCTAAGGATGGTGAGATTCTCCCTGGGAAGGGTAGATGGAGGTTCCCTGACTGCTCCATCCGTGTCCGTGTGCGGCCCACTGTGCCCTGGGCCAAGCTTCCCTTCCTCACAGCTTCTCTCCCCCCAGATGGATCTTCAGAGTATCTGGTTCCCTTCAGCTCTGCAGACTTGCCTAAGTCCCAACTCTCAAAAAGAGTCCCTTGTAGAGGCCTGCTGTAAATGAGGATCCTTGGAGTGGCCGGGGTTGGATGCATCCCAGTCACCAGTGTCTCTTGGCACTGGCAAATGCCCTCTGAGATCACAGGCCTTGTCAAAGCCCTGGCCTCCTCCCTTCATCTTGAGAGTGTTCTGGCAAAAGTGTGTGTGTGTTCGGCTGTACCAAGTTTTAAACTTTGAGCTTGTTACGTAGGTACTCTACTACTTGAGCCACACCTCCAGACCAAAATTGCTGTAGTTTTGGTTCTTGTTTTTAGTAAGCCCACAGAGGCAGTGCCTCTCAGTCAGGCTCTGTTAGTCCTTGCCAGTCTTACCCTTATGCAGAACATAGGGGCTGCCTGGAGGGGGAGAGGAAAAAAGGGAGGAAGGCACCCTGCACCATCCCAGTGGCCTGGCAGTTCCCCCTCCCCCAGTGGCCTGGGGCTCCTCCTCCCCATAGTTGGCAGTCCCCCCCTCCCAGTGGCCTGGCAGTTCCCCCTCCCCCAGTGGCCTGGGGCTCCCACCCAGTGGCTTTATAGTCTCTCCCCACTCCCAGTAGCTCAGCAGTTCCTGGCAGGCTTATCCTTCCCTGGTGCCTGTCCCCCATAGGACTGAGCCCTCTCAGTGCATTGCTAGGCCCAGGACCCACTTAGCACCACACAAAATCTGAGTACCTGTTGCCAAGTTTCTAACAGCTTTTCCCAGTCTTAAATCCTTCTTGCTTTACTGGAAGCAACATATAAATCCTCCTGTTTGTGACTTTTGGTGATTCAGAGGTTCCCAAAGCTGTGCAGCCAGCCATTCACACAGTCGGTGGCTCACCCTGGCCAGGCAGGCACTCTACCACTCAGTCATACCTCTAGCTATTTCTGCTTTTGTTGTGTTTCCAATAGAGTCTCATATTTATACCCAGGTCAGCCTGGACTGTGATCCTCCTGTTTATGCTTCCTGGGTAACTGAGGTGATAGCGACACACCATCTCACTTGCCTTTTTCTTGATTGAGACAGAATCTTGCAAACTTTTTGCCTGGGTTAGCCTCAAATGTCCATTCTCCCAGTTTCAGCCTCCTTTAAGTAGCTAGAATTACATGTATGAGTCACTATACCAGGCTGTTAGAACATTCCATACCTGCTGCCAGCCATTTTCCTCTGTCCAACCCAGGCAGCTGTGGGTCTGCCTTCTGTCTGTGCTGAGCAGGAGCTTGGGGGAGGGTGCCTGCTTACGCCCTTCCTTGTCAGGCACGTTGCTGGTCTCAGTCTTCACAGGGAAGAACTGGTGGCATATGTGATCAAGACAGTGTAAAACTTTCAGAAAGGACTTTAATTACAACCAACTCATTAAAATTCCACCTAGGAATCAGGTGAGCTGGTTCCATCAGGTACTTGAGGCAGGTGGACGGAGTTTGAGGGCAGGCAGCCTGGGGTATCTAGCAAGAACCTATATTAAAACAAAATGATTGAAGCCGGGCACCGATGGCTCACGCCTGTAATCCTAGCTACTCTGGAGGCTGAAATCTGAGGATCACGATTCAAAGCCAGACAGGGCACAAAAATCCATATGACTCTTATCTCCAACAAACCACTAGAAAACCAGAAGTGGTGCTGTGGCTCAAGTGGTAGAGTGCTAGCCTTGAGCTGAAGGGTGCAGGGAAAGTGCCTAGGCCCAGAGTTCAAGCCCCACAACCGACAAAAAAAAAAAAAATAGTGAGGTGCTGGTGGCTCACGCCTGTAATCCTAACTATTCAGGAGGCTGAGATCTGAGGATCGCTGGTCAAAGTCTGCCTGGGCAGGAAAGTCCATGAGACTCTTACCACCAATTAACCACCAGAAAACCAGAAGTGGCACTGTAGCTCAAGTGGTAGAGTGTTCGCCTTGAGTTGAAGAGTTCAGGGACAGTGCCCAGGCCCAGAGAATTCAAGCCCCACAACCAACCAAAAATATAAAAAAAAGAATCAAGGGCTGGGAATGTGGCCTGGTGGTAGAGTGCTTGTCTAGCATGTATGTATCACATACACAAAAAAAAGCCAGAAGTGGTACTGTGGCTCAAGTGGTAAAGTGCTAGTCCTTGAGCAAAAGAAGCTCAGGGACAGTGCCCAGGCCCTGAGTTCAAGCCCCAGAACTGGCCCATGTGTGAGCACGCACACACACACACACAAAGAAAACGAATGAATGTTCTACGGGGCTCCCAACATGTCAGGGAGCGATGTGACTTACAGAGGCTGCAAGCACCCTACACTCCCAGGTAAGCAAGGCTGAGGGGCAGGCCAGACTTGCTGGGGTGATGGATGTAGTGCGCCCCATCTCCCTTCATTGTCCTCCTCTTCCTCCCTCCGCCTCTCCTAGTAACAGGATGTCTGGCTGGCTCACTATGAGATTTAGAAAAGTGAGTCAGGAGCTGGTATTAAAATAGCTGTCACCACAGTTATTAGGCCTGTGCTTATGGTTAGGTCTTAATTGGGAAGTAGCAGTTACAGGAGATTGTCCTGGGGGTGGGCTTAGGCTTTACTGACAGCTCAGTGTACACTCAGGGTACACCCCAGTGCAGCCAGGATGGGGTTCTGTGCTGTCAGTTGCACAGCACCTCCTTGTGTAATGTCCATCACTCCCTCCTGGCCAGGGAGCTGGTTAAAATGTGGAGGAAGGTCTGTGATTCATCTGGAGTGGAGTCAGGCCCAGGTCTAGAGCCCTACACACCATGTCCTCTCCCTCCCCTCCCCTCTTGTCTCCCCACCCACGTGTGCCCAGGGTGTATCCTTGTCCTGGCTGGCCTTGGTGACTGATGTGATGGGATCTCATGCTAACTCAGGGCCTTTGCGGTGCAGGAGCTCAGCCGCTTCCACGGGGCTCTCCTGGCAGACTGAGGAGAGGTGCAGTGGCATGGACACAGCTGATGTATAGGGCTGTGGAGTGTAGGGCAACAGGGGTGTGTCACATACACACCACACGCTCCCTGTGCACTCACACATGGGCCCCAGCCAGGCTCCTCGCTACAAACCGTTTCTTTTCTTTCTTTTTTTTTTCCATAAACTTTTCTTTAGGTCTCGTCTCGGGTGGGTAGATGTGGGCTGTGTGACTCATAAAGACCACTTGGCCTTCAGGACTGAGGAGCCACAGTTTAGGAGAAGGCCGCTGGCTCTTGTTGAGAAAGTGGAAATGACTCTGCATACTCTCAAACCTGTGACATCTCAGGGTTCCCCCCTACACCCCGCCCCAGCAAATGGAACTCTAGGAGTGATGCCGACTCAACACTGCAGACCCCCACCCCATCTGCAGTATTGGGGCACCCAGCCTGTCTTTCAGAATGTCTGTTTACCCCTGGTTTTACATATAGGAATATAAACATGCCTCCCACATTTTTGCTGAATGGCTGAAGCCTGGCTGGGTGCTTTCCAGCTCCTCTGCCAGGTGTACAAGTGGCTCCCAAGCAGGTGAGGGGAAGAGCTCTGTGGTAGATCTCCAGTAAAGACCTCCACCTCTGCAGTGGGTCCCCCTATAAAGAGCCCCTCATCTCTGCAGGGGATCCTTATATAAAGTCACCAGTTGTTCACTACATCTCACTGTTGTTGGACACAGATACAAGACCTGCCCTTAAGTCTTGTTCATGAAACACTTAGTGTGGAGAAGATGGAATGAGAGCTGTGTGCACAAGCACGTTCCCAGGGCCGGGTGGCTTTGCCAGCATCAGGCTCCCTGGGCGGCCACTCCCGCTCAGGCCCAGCTGCACCAGGCCAGGGCATCTCCACCAGCCTCCAGCATGCTGGCTGTCTTTGCTGTGGGGATGTGGGCACCAGCGGGGGCTGTGTGCAGTGTACCCCATGTGTGCAGCTAGCTTGGCAGGTTTTGTTGTGATACTCTCAAACTAGCAGCATAGTAGGTGGCAATTTCTCTGTTTAGAAATTGGAAGGTGTCCTAGGCAAACTGCCCAGACTGTGACAGGCTGCAGTTTCTTAGAAAAGAGGACCATGCACATAGTCCTTGCCTATCTGAGCGGCTGGCATGGTCTTGGTGCTTTTTTTTTTTGGGTCGGTCCTGGGGCCTGAACTCTGGGCCTGGGTCTGGGCGCTGTCACTCAGCTCTTCAGCTGAAGGCTAGCGCTCTACCTCTTGAGCCACAGTGTCACTTCTGACTTTTTCTGCTTATGAGGAATCGAACCCAGGGCCTCAGGCATGTAAGGCACGCGCTCTCCCCCTGAGCCACCTTCCCAGCCCACCTTGGTGCTTCTTAAGGCCAAATATGTTGGCATGCTGCCTTGAGTAGGAAAGCCACAGGCTGGAGGCAGGGAAGCCCAGAGCACTGGTCAGGCATTGTTTGCGTTAGCCCTTAGCTATCGGGGAAGGACTGACATCTCTGTCCTTTCTGTTCTTTTCCCTGTGAACCACACACAAACCACATCTGGCATCACCACAGCTGCTGGCAGACCGATAGGGCTGCGTCTGCTGAGAGCTCTGTGCACGGCCTTGTGGCGTGTTGCAGGGCTATTTGGGTCTGTGCTGTTCCTGTGACAGGCAGGGGACTAGCTGATGCCGTAGTGGCCCTATGCTTGTGTCCATAGGGGCCTTAAGGAGAGCACAGGAAGTGCCATCCCGATACCAGTCCTGTGAGCACAAGGGTTGTGTTGGTGCAGTCATGTGGTGATCAGGATCCATGTGATCAGGCCCCGCTGGACCTCAGCCTCCTCCTTTCAGAATCTGACTTGCTGTTCTCCTCTTGTTACAGGTGTACCTTCCGGTTCCCCAGCACAGCCATCAAGATCCAGTTCACATCCCTGTACCATAAAGAAGAGGCTCCAGCTTCTCCCCTGCGACCGCTCTACCCTCAGATCTCCCCACTGAAGATCCACATTCCGGAGCCGGATCTCCGCAGCCTGGTCAGCCCCATCCCCTCCCCAACCGGCACCATCAGGTAAGCTGCCTTGCAGGAGCCCAGACTCTTCTTTTTTTTTTTTTTGTTGGCCGTGGGGCTTGAACTCTGGGCCTGGGCACTGTCCC